GAAGAAAAGAGAGAGGTTTTGTTTTCTGACACTTTGTGAGTTCCCTGACACACCGGGGACACATATTCATGTATAAAAGACATCAAAAAGTGCGTTTTTCATGATAGGTCCCCTTAATCAAATGGATGTATAGGTTGTGTGTGTGACTTTCTTCTTTCTTTTTTATTTTATTTGTGAATTTCTTTTCATTCCCATGTCGATAACTTTAGATATAGGACTTAATTTAAACAATCCATTATGTGGTTGCCCTTGACACTCACTAGTGGTGTAAAGTAACTAAGTACATTTACTCAAGTACTGTATTTAGGTAGAATTTTGAGGTTGAGATTATTTTCATTTTCTGCTACTTTGTACTTCTACTCCGTGACAATTCAGAGGTTAATCATGCACCAGAAGGAATTCATATTAGCAGACCTTTACCAGCTTTGATACCACTTTAATGCATCAATAATTATAGTAAAAACATATCATTTATATTATTCTAATATGGGCTAATTTGCACAATTAGTACTTTTACTTTTGGTACTTTATTTGATGCTAATACTTCTGTACTTTTACTCGAGTAACATTTTGAATGTAGGACTTTTACTTGTAACAAAGTATTCCTACATTCTGGTACTTCTGCTTTTACTCAAGCAAAACATCTGAGTATTTCTTCCACATCTGGCTCTCACAGATAAAACCCTTCACACTTGCATTAAGGCTGTTCCAACTCAGCCACAAGCCTATGTTCCCAGTCACAGTACCCAATAATAAGGGAACAGTGCATGGGAAACATTTAAATGGCTGGTCCTAACATTGAACCTTGACTGCTTCAAATATTTTGCTTATACTACTACCTTTTTGACTTCTCTTTCATAATTTCCACTCCAAGTCTAGTCACTCAGACAGAGGGTAAACCTACTCATGTGGAGATGTGTTTGCTTCCCTGACACATTCTTTCAGCATCAACATGCCCAATAAAAGTTGTCATGGCTGAGAAGAAGATCATTTGTCGTCCAGCTGGCTGTTCACAACCAATCGTGAAGGAAACCACGTGGAAAACCAGAAACGGCCAGCTCATCGTTCTGGCAGTGTCAACATGTTGCTGAGGAACATCCTGATCATACCGAGAGAGTGACAGCATGTTATATAGTCACGTAGCCTTCTTCTGGAAAAGTCATTTTCACCTCTGGAACATTTTTTATAATAAGAGCCAAGTCTTCTGGTGCTGAAGCAGCTGGGTTGTTTAAAAAGTGAGCGTGGTCTCCGTGCACGTTTGTCTAAACAAATATTGAGCATTGCCAGGAGTAATAAATCTGGATTGCTGTGTTAAAACTATCATCCACAAGCCTTATGGGAATGTCATTTCACCAACCACTGAAAAGAATGGGAAGCACAGAGCACAGGGGAGCCATGCATTTTCTAATTGGCCTTTTTTGGTTCTTTAAGGCAGCAACTTAACTCCAGCCACCCCCTAAATAAAAGAAATGTGCAAATGCATCTGATCCTATTTCAAAATTGTAGCCTGAAGCAGTAGCCTTCTTCTACTCCTGATATATTTTACACAACCATGATGTTGTTAACAATCGCATATAATAGCTGTACAGGAAAAACATCTTTATCTAAACGAGCATCCATGAAGTTTTATTATAAAGGTTTGTCTCCCATTAGGAACATTTAGTGGTTTCTGTCCCTGATGTATAAGTCATCATGATGGGAGATGGAAAATTCTCTTCATCACCTTTATAGCCGTTTGACTTCACCAACAACAGGAAAACAGACAAAAGTAATTTCCATTCTCTCACATGCATACAGCTTGTCTGGGCCTCAATTACTCTGCTTTCAAACTAATCAACCATTCACCAGTAAAAGAGGTACACTCCTCATCATGACATACACATATTGTGTCATTCATTTGTGCTAAATGGCAAAATGCTGCACACATTTTATGGTAAAATAAACGTTGTGCCTATTCTGTTATACAAAAGAAATGCAACTTAACAACATTAAAAGTGACCAAAGGGAATTTTGATAAACTTTAAGAAAAAATATGGCTTATATAACCCTACAGCCCCCCCATTATACCTCATTGCTAAAATGCAGTGCAGTTGTCAGTCTGCACAGTGTGGGAATATACATCAAACTGCTTGTTAATTGCTTCTTGTAAAATATAATGAGCGTGCAACATTACATCCATGGGGTGTATCACTTATGTTATTCTTGAAATTGTTATAATAACTGTGGAGCAAGGCACAAAGTTAATTGCTTCACTTTTGAAGTGGCTGGCTGGATGTGGCCCGACCCTGTGGGAAAACATGTACCTTTAACAAGGGACAATGAGTTAATTAAGAGCTACCAACTGACATTAACCACGAGCAGCCAGCACACTCTCAGAGCTGGGAATCTCTTTACTGCTTTCACCATGACGGAGGAATTCATACACTACAAAGTGAGAGGAGGGATGAAATTACGTCTGTGTGAAGGTCTGCTTTACACAGGGTTTCCAGTCCCCCCCTCCCATGCTCATATGTGATTGGCCTGTCTAGGTTTGCCTCTAATGGGAAAACCAGCACCTGAGGGTACAGGCAGTCAGACAGGAGGAAACCTGTACCTCATTGAAAGATTTCCATGGAACAAATAAAACTGTACAAAGAGATATACAGACTTGTAAGGGTGTGGTTGGCTGGTTTGTAAGATTAACACCCTATAACCCCCAACACAGTTGTTCAAAAGCTGGATAGAAAGATGTCAAGAGTTTGAAGGGTTTTGGCTATATAACACAAGGTTTAGACCAAATCCTGGAAACAGACAGACACTTCTAATAAAGTTTTCTTACCTTCTCCTTTTCCGTATTTGGCCGAGGGCAACCAGGACTGGGCGTCCAGGAAGCCGAGCTCTCTGCACGCCACGTGTGCAGCAGATATAGAGAAGTCATCATCACACACCGTTCCCCACTCGCCATTGTAGAAAACCTCCAACCGGCCCTCGTAGTGTTTCCGCTTCTCCCCGGCTAAACGTAGCTGGATGACAGGGGGGCTAGAGTCTGACTGGGCGTTGCACAGCGCCCACAGGGACAGTAAGGTGGACAACACACAGTGGATGGCAACTGGACGCAGCATGATGCAGGACGAGGCAAGGAAAGACAGTGAACTAAGGGGAGAGATTAAGAAAAAACACTGTAAGAATTCAATAGAAGCTGAACTGAACTATGCTTATTGAAGAATCTATAAGGAGATGGACTTTAAATGTAACATTTGCACATTCCTCAGAGTTATATTGAGAGCTGAACATTGAGGGCAGACAGTAATTTGTGGTGTGTGTGGTTCTTTTGTCCATAACTTGAGCGAGTTTGAGTATAAAATCTAGGGCAGGAACAGTTTGGCTTGGCCATCATCAGGCTCCTAGAGACCTTCTCTGGCCTCCGTGCAACCACAAGTATACACTTCAGAATCACATACAGGATTTACCACAGTCTGACAATATATGAAGCAACTAGTGACTAGTTTGTTCTTAAGTGCACTCTGAACTCTGGTTAATACACTAATTTAAAACATACATAATGTTGTTTTACAGAGACAAGGATCCCTCTCTCCATCTTTCTGACAGCCTAATAGAGAGCAAATGTGGGCTCCTGCAGGTTGGGGTGCTGCCCCTCTGCTTTATCTATAGATCTGTGCCTGCAGGCTGCTGGGATGAACTTCAGAGGAAAAGTTGACTCCACCTCGATATATCATGGCAAACCATGAGTGTCAATGGAGGGACCAAAGGCCCCAGGGAGGAATTTTGAGCAGGAAAGGAAGACAGTGAAAGTGAGGAGACCTCCACGTCTTTGCAAGGGAGGAAGGAGAAGGGGGGCTTTCCGAGTTGACGTCATAGCAACAGCCAAACAAACTGTAGAGGCCCAGGCTTACACAAACACTCCTGCAGTACACAGTCAGTAAATTGTCAGACTTTGTTAGACGTCACTTGCGATCCTGTGAAACATCTGGTATACCTTCTCACGAATGTTAAGCAGGCGGAAGCAGCAGATACTTTAAGTTAGACTTATTTAATATGTCTTTACACAGCAGTTAAGAGTTACAGAATCGACATTATGTACGTTTTAAATTAGTGTATTAACCAGAGTTCAGAGTGCACTTCAGAACAAACAGTCAGTCAGCAAGTGTCAACTCCACATGGCCATTTATGAAAAACTAACACTTCTCTGGAATGTGTCTTGTATGTTTTAGATTATACTGCTTACAAAACCAGTGGAGACACACCTCTATCCTAAAGACGATTGTTCACATTTAACACTCCCTCCAAAATGTGACTTTCATTTTACTTCAGGTTTTCAATGGAGAGTTAGAAAATGCCAATCATGAGGTTGCATGAGAACAATAGGGCCATAATACGTGAAAGCTGCCTGTCAGTGTAGGGTAGCCAAGGATTGTCAAGTCAACTGGAAATAGCAAAATTCCACATGCTGAATGGTTTGCTTCTCAGTCAAAGCCAGTTGCTCTTGCATCATTTGTTTATTTCAGTAAAGCACAAATCAACCATCAAGTTTCTGTTAAGCCCTGGCCAGCACACAAATCCTGATATCCAGCTATACACAAGAAAGAGTCCTGCAGCTTCTTCAGGAAAAACTGTCGGTCCAATGTCAGCAAAAGAGTGAAGCATAAATATCAAGTTAATGCAACTTTCTTTTAGATTTTGGTTTTTATGCTTCTTATGCAACACAGTGTAGCAGCCCACGTTCTAAGTTAGGATCAGTTTTTGGGGCTGTAAGAAAACAATATTTGGAAGGAAATACAATGAAATTAAGTTTAAAATTAGAAAAACGCATTTCTGCTGGCAAAGATGACAAAAAGTAATAATTGTACGATGCATTTGAAGTTTCAATACAGTCACTATGCAAGTGCAAGACAGCGTCCCATCAGGACCGCCAGAGTTTCTCAGAGTTGAAAAGATACACTTACTTTGACAGACGAAGAACAAGCAGTAACACACTTTCCAGGACGCAGACTTTGAAGTTTCCAACTTGTTGCAGAGGATGAATGTGAGGCAGCGGTTCTTTGTCCCTTTAGTACTCTTCCTCGCTGTTTCTCTCCTCAACCTCACAGCTGGCTGAGCGCTCCCTTCCCACTCCTCGCCACGCACATCAGCCAATCAGAAGCCGCCTCAGCATCCTGGACACGCCCCCTCCGGCCCTATAACCAGGGTTACAAAAACACACTGCAGGCATTTATGTAAAGCTCCGTTTGCTGGCATCTTATAGCTTTGCGTAACTTTAAAGTTGCGTAACCTAAAATTAAAAAAATAAGTCTTTTGGTTTATTTATTAAGAAAGGACTTTTTATATGCTTTACAATTCTGTGTTCCCTTCCCATAAAAAGGAGAACGTTCTTTTTTTTTTACCAGATTAAGGAAGCAATCTTTGAAACCCAAACTGACCCCAATGCTCACAGGTCAATGCTGATGCTCGGATATGGAATTTGCTGAAGCTAAGTTTGTGAGTTAAAATGTTGTTGAGTAAACATTTTAGATTTTTAAATAAAATCCAGTGAGATATTTTCTTTTGGGATAAAATCTGTGATAAATTGTAGTTTATATGGCCACAAAGGAGTACACATTTTACCCTGGAAATCAGATCATAGCACTCCAAATGGTAAAAGCCTACAAAAAAAGTTGAGCAAGCCGTCCTGTTGATGTGTTCTTCTTGTCTGTCATCTTCATGAGTGGAGACATTGTGAAAGCAACTATTATAAAGATCCAATTATTGCATAATTTGAAGACCTTAAACAAAAAATATCACAACAAACATTCAAAGCTTATCTTTTTCACACAGCAACTTTTGTGGTACAACCAATGGGAGAGAACACAGTGTGAGAAGTGAATTTTGAAGAAGATGAAGATTAGACTTAATAGATCTACATATACAGGGTAGGCCTACTGTAACAAGAACGGTTTCTCTGGTGCATTTGACCCATCTCTAGTGGTAGGAAGGGCAGTGGCTGGCCATTATTACCGGCGTCCCGGAGAGCAGTGTAGGGAAGCGGTGGGCCTGGCTCAGAGACACCTCGTAGAACTTGGTCTTTCCGGGACTTGAACTGGGGGAGCTGAACAAGGAACGCGCCTGCTGAAAGGAATGTTTAGCAAGCAGCCAAGGCTGAGCAAGTGAAGGGCATCAAGTATTAGAAAGGATGGCCAGAAGAGTGGAGGAACGGAAGGAAGAAGTAACCTCCGTCTCTACTTAAATGTTTTACCCTAAATTTGTG